GTGGGTACAGTTCCAGTTTTGCATGATCACAAGGGTTCTGGAGACGGATGGTAGTGATGGTTGCACAAGCACCGATCTGCGGACTGGAGAGCAGTTCAGATGGTAAACTCGATGTGTGTTTTACCACCAAAACACAAGCATGTCCGCGCCGGAGACTGCTACGTGATGGAGTTTGCGGTAGGTTGCTCTCCAGGATCCAGCTGGCTTTCGCAGGAACTAGACTGTCAGTTAGAGGAAGCTGCGATGCGCCTTCAGGTCCTGTAAGGGCAGCACCCACCTTTAACCGCTCTGGGGATCCAGATTGCTTAGACTTACTGTCTTGGTGAAGGGCCGTTTCAAAGTTTACACTTTCCAACAAAACAATGTGTTAGTCATGTAATATAACTTTAGCAACTTATGCATATACATACTTTAATTTGATGGTGGCTTATCATCCTTCCATGCCAAAATTAACACTTATTTTTAAAAAATTATATGCGATGACAGACGTGGGGCAATGCTTTGCTCCCAAATGAAGCGTGGCATGGGAAAGTATTAAATTAAGAGACGTCGATTTTCCCGCTATGCGTCACTCATTTTTCTTGTATCTGGTTTTATACATCTTTGTTTTCTCTTTAATTTCACTGAGTCCTTCATTCTCCCAGCCTCAGCAGTATAACTGTCAAGGTTAGCCCAGGTACAGAAAGCCTCGGGGCTCTCTGATGGCGTCGGAGCCATGCAAACAAACCTAGAGTGAAAATTTCTCATGCGACCTCACCATTCTATGTTCTTAGAATCCCCATGTTGTCAAGCTGGTCCCCGTAGGTCAGATGCTGAACTCCAGGAGGTTTACACTTGACCTTCCCCGCTGTGACCGCTCTCACCCCACAGGCCACAGGTGGGTTGTGTCAAATATCAAGTCTCTATATTCCAGTTATACATTTAGGCACCAGAAAAATGACCACAGTGTCCACACGCCCAGTGGACCCATCGAGAGCCAGACAGGACCTGGACTTATTTGTCACCTGGCCTCTACCATGTCCCCATTCAAAGGGGGACATGTGGTGACACTTAGGATCTCTAAGGAGGCTGTGAACTTGGACCCTAGGTCTGATATTCCTAGAAACGTTTGCACGTTCCACCTCTCCTGGGGTACAGTTATCCAAACAAGCATCACAGATGCCTTTGGGGAAGGCCAAGGGAAGCCATTACTATATACCTGTACTCCAAGTCGTGGATTCTGGACCCGAAACCTGTCTAAGGTAGGGAAGGTGAGCAAGGAAGGGATGGTTATGTTTTATTGAGGTCACTGCCCCAGTCTCTGATGGTCCATCCTGTTTCCTTTCATTGGGCAGACCAAGCAGTGCCCTGACTGGCTGCCCATCTATTTTACCCTTCTGGATGCCAGGCTCTTTTAGTCATGTCCATTACCCTTTGTGGGTCAGGCCTCCCTGGCTTCCACCCTGTCTTTGCCACTCGTTAGAATAATTCTGATCTCCTGGCTTGTGACAGTTAGGCACTGCCACTGGGTCTCTGACAGTTTGGAGTCCATCATCCCAGGATGACAGGATCCTGGTACCTTAATGGCATCTCCTACTGTCGGCTACCACTCCGCTCTAGCCCTTCCTTACTCACTTGCTAAATGGTGTCCTCCCAAGAAACCTACTCATTTGCTAGTTTTTCCAGCCTTGTAAAGCACGTCCATCATAGCATGGCTCCTTCTCTGAGCCTCTTACGCACAGCCGGCCTCACTTGGTGTGAGCTGTCACCTTGCCCACACGACCGGAGTCATCTCAGCAGCACAACGGCACCCTCTCGACGCCAGGGCAGTCCATCCAGTATCCTGGACGATGCTCCCAAAGCAATACACTCTGCCTTGGCCAGCTCTATTTTTCCATCCTCTTTGACTCAGTGCCCTCAGAATCCAACCTCACGTGCTCTCTCTAGAACTTGCATCTCCTCTGGGGCATGGCCCCTGCCCCCAATATCAGGCTCAGCATGCCCCAGCCAGGCTAGACAATAACTCTAGTTATTAGCCTACTTACTTGCTACCTGTGCTAATAAAGGACAGCGGGGGCCTTCTATCCACTTCTGCACTGTGACAAGGCTGAAATATGCCACGAAAACCTGGCCTCATATAAAAATATAGCCGGAAAAGGGAGGAGCATTTTAATAGTCTTTTCAGAAAGTCGTGCATGTTTTTCTTTAATACCACACCAAACCCAACAAGTGTTAGTGTCTTAAAGGTCAACCGAATGCAGATGTACTATTTTTTCACGTTCCCTTACGTTACACTCCATTGATCTAGCTGGCGTTTTGCATAAATCTTTTACCTGTGCGTGATTATGTAACGACACGTTTTAGTTATCTGAACAATATTGGTTCCCTGTGTTATGCAGATCTCCCAAATGGTGACTCATTTCATTTCATGATATCA